AAAAAAAAAAAAAAAAGACCAGGTTTAGTGGTCTGATAGAGCCTGGTGAGACCCCCAAGACTATAATGCTTAGTTATCCTTCAGGTCTGGAATTGAACTTACTCCCATGGCTTTCAGCCAAACAAGCATAGAGTGGGAACATCTATGGGAGAAAAAGGTAGTATTTGCACAGATAGCTCAAGGGCAGGAAAGCACAGGAAAGAAGAACACAGGGAGGAAGTGGGAAGAGAGCTGTTACCTTGTGGGGAATTACAGTTAATGTCATGAAACAATGTGTATGAACTGCTGTATGGAAAATGAATTTATTCTGTAAACTGTCACCCAAATCACAATAAAAATCTACAAAGTGAAATGTTGGGTTCTTGGGTTGAGTGGGATGTTGAGTATTCATATTAAATACGCAAAATAAAAACACTAGAGTTTATGAATATGTAACAGAGAAACCCGATGAGTCTGTGAGTCAGGGGAAGTGAGAAAATAAGGTTTGAACTAAAACATAAAGGATTCCCCCCCCCCAAAAAAAAACAAAACTCATTGCCATTGAGTCAATTGTGACTCATAGTGACCCCCAATTGCAAACTGTTTCTGCCAACCGGGGTTTCTAAGTGGTAAATCTTTACAGAAGTAGAATGTCCAGCCATCCTTCTGAGTGACTTGTGGGTTTGAACCACCAACCTTCTGGTTAGCAGTCAAATGCATTAGGCATTTTGCCACCAGAGCTCCTTAGAAAGGAATGTGGAATAAAAAATCAGAAAAGATAACGCTGTGGGACATGAGGCAAGTATTTGCAGGCCATGTTAGAGAGTCACTCACAACTGCAACATGGGGAAAGCATTTAAACAATGTAAACCAGAGGTATGTTTATGAGCAACAAATTTCATTTTGAAAAGATGGCAGGGTAGAGAAAAAATTGGAGATAGAGGAAGAGTAAAATTCCGAGAGGCTAGTAAATCAATTGATAAGAGATTTCTGCAGTGGTTAAATCGTAAACGTTAGCTTGGAGTAAGGCAATGTTGTTATGTGCCGTCGAGTCAGACCCGACTCATAGCAACCCCTCCCTGGGTTTCCGAGGCAGTACTACTACAGAAGTAGATTGCCCCATCTTTCTTCAGAGGAGTGGCTGGTGGATTTGAACCGCGACACTCCTGGTTAGCAGTCAAGTGCCTTAGGCACTATGCTACCAGAGCTCCCCAAGTAAGGTAATAGTAAATACTTACAGTATTTTCTATTAGAAATAGAAAAGGAGGTAATAGAAAAGTACAAATAACTCATTGCACTAGTTATGTTATGTGCCGTCGAGTCGGACCCGACTTACAGTGATCCCTCCTTGCATTTCCGAGGCATAATCACTACGCAAGTAGATTGCCCCATCTTCCTTACGAGTGGCTGGTGGGTTTGAACCACCAACCTTCTGGTTAGCAGTCAAATTTTGGCTAGATGTCAATTGTAAACTGTTTCCGCTAACCAGGAACCTTATTAGAAGACATTTACAAGGTAAAATTGTAGCAACAGATCAAATTGATGGGCTGGACGTAGGGAATGAGAGAAAAGTTGTTTTCCAGGATCCTAGTTTAAGAACCTGGTCGAATAAATGCTTGAGATAGAAAACAGATATGGACCAGGTTTGGAAGCAAAGCTCTCTATTTATGACCTTCAAAACCCTGTCATTCTACTCTGTCCTACCGGGTGGATGACAATGGGTTTATGGTTGGTACATGAGGTGGGAGGGAAGGGGGGAAAAGTTCTTGCTTTGGAGAAATTTTAATGGTGGGATCATTTGTAGAGACAATAAAGGTTAGACATGATGTAATCAATGTCATTGAATTACAGACATCATGATGTAACGTCACTGAATTATAAACATTCAGAAATTGAAGTGGCAAATCTATTTTTACAAAAATTGTGTTGAAATATTTTATATTCTGAACAAAATAATTTCATCACATTTAACTTCTTGAATTTGACATGTAAAATTTTAAAATTTACACTATGTACTTCTAGCAGACAGGCCTACTTTAGGTGAACACAGGTGCCAATAGCATTCACGTCTGACCAACTCCTAAAACATTCTAGAAACACAGCAAGCATCATGTGAAATTTGGCACCCATTCAGCACCTCACAGGCCCATGAAGTATTTCAATGCAACTGATTTGAGGAGACAGAGTTAAATGAAAAATGATTATGTACGTCACGTCCCCAAAAGGGCTCATGGTGTCATTTCCCCAGAAAGCTCAGTTGTCACCGAAGCATGGTTATCTCCACAAAATTAGTGTGCTCTGGAAAAATTAAACATCTACCAAAATTACAACCCAATGCTTGGATTTAGAATTATCACAGAAACATACCCAATGAGCAAGTTGTTAAGACTAAAAAGCAGCCCCCCCTTGTACTGTGCTACATTGTGGAGACGTTTTCTGATGACTTTTCCAGGGACTACCAACAGGTACATTGTGATCCACACACAGAAAAGTTGTACTGTTGTTTGGTTGGAATATATTTGGATCAATGACAATAATTGATCTTTAGGCAAGAACATAAAAAAAAAAATGACTTTCTGTACTGAAATGACTACTTCTGTAGTTTCCATAATCAGATTTATATCCTGTTCAATTTAGCAACAACATAGTTTTCTAGTTTTATTTTAGACTAGTTTATTACGCTGGAAAATACTTCAAGGGGATAATGAGCAAAGGGCATACAAAGGACTTGTAATAAGGCACTTTATTAAAATAAAAGTGCTTACATCCCTTTAACGCGTGAATATATTTCTCGAGTTACATGGAATAGTTAACAAATACTGTACACCAATTCTGTCCTTATAATTGTAGGAAAACAGTATTTTAATAGTTTTTTCTTCTTTTGAACTTTTTGGTACATTTTTGCTATGATACTGCCTACAACATAATTGTTTAAAAAAAGTGTGTGCGTGGGATGTCTAATCAGCATCTTCTAATAGTAACTGCAAAATGCTACAGAAACTATAAAAAAAATTCAAACAAGGATGCCAGGTAATTTAAATTAACACCAGTTTTGAGAAAACCATTTTTATTATCATCTCCACCCAGCTTATTTGTGCTGGACTAGGTACCAAATGGCCAGATCATCTAAAGAACAGCTACGTAACACTTCTTTCATGTTTCAAGAGATGAAAATAACTGTACAAGGTTAAGTACAAAAGTACACAAGACAGCGGACACAAAAAATTCATGTATGAGATTTTTATCCCACCTGCAGCTTTTATATTTGAAAAGTAGAATCATGAACTAAAAAATATCGTCCTTCTATAGCCTGTAAAGTTTAATGGAAGTGGGTTTAACCTGATTAC